ACAGCAGCAGCAGCAAAAAGCAGCAGCAGCAGCAGCAGCAGCAGATAGAAGGATCTGTCTCCTTTAATATGTCTCCCTCACCTTCTTGCTGCAGCAAAGCGATGGCGTCGCGCGGGTCTCCAGACTTGGCCCCTTCGGCTATCTCTGAAAAGAGACAGCAGCAGCAGCAGCAGCAACAGCAGCAGCAGCAGCAGCGGCAGCGGCAGCAGCAGCGGCAGCGGCAGCAGCAGCAGCAGCGGCAGCAGCAGCAGCAGCAGCACAAATGAGGGGATTAGAAGCAGCAGCAACGACAACAAAGGAGGTGGAGTAGCGGGGGATACAGCAGCAGCAGCAGCAGCAGCAGCAGCAGCAGCAGCAGCAGCAGCACTTACGCCTGGCGAGTTCTGTGTCTCTTCCGTCCCCAACAGCAGCAGCTAGCTGCTGCAGCTGTCGCAGCAGCTTCTGCGCGAGGTGTATAGGCAGCTCCCTGGGGTTGTGGGGTGTCTCCAGTGTCTCCTTCAGACGAACTGCAGCAGCAGCAGCAGCAGCAGCAGCAGCAGCAGCAAAAGCAAAGACACAAGCAATAAGCTTAACTGTCTCCTTTTTCTGTCTCTTTCTGTCTCTTTCTGTCTCCTTTCTGTCTCCTTTCTGTCTCCTTTCTGTCTCCTCGCTGGTTTTGTGGTGTCTCCTTTGCAGCTAGATAAAAGGAGACAGAAAGAGACAACAAAAAAAGGAGACAAAAACAAAGAGACAAACAAAAGGAGACAAAGACAAAGAAACAAACAAAAGGAGACAAAAACAAAGAGACAAACAAAAGGAGACAAAAACAAAGAGACAAACAAAAGGAGACAAAAACAAAGAGACAAACAAAAGGGGAGAGAGAGAAGGAGACAAACAAAAGCAGAGAGATAGGAGGAGACAGACAGAAAGAGACACACAAAAAGAGAGAGACAGAAAGAGAGACAAACAAAAGGAAACAAAAAAAGAGAGAGACAGAAGGAGACAAACAAAAGGAGAGAGACAAAAGGAGAGAGACAAAAGGAGAGAGACAGAGGGGGAGAGAGAGAAGGAGAGAGAGAAGGAGAGAGACAAAAGAAGAGAGAGAGAGAGAAAAGGAGAGAGAGACAAGGAGAGAGACAAGGAGAGAGACAAAAGAAGAGACAGAAAGAGACAAAAGGAGAGAGATATATATAAAAGGAGACAGAGAAAAGCAGAAAGAGACAGAGAGACTAACAATATAGAGTACGGAGAGCTTGCTGCTGCGTGGTGGTTTGTGTCTCCTCTTTGGCTGTCTCTGTCTCCTCGCTGCTGCTGTCGTATGCTGTTTCTGCTGCAGTGCTGTAAGCAGAAGCAGAGCTGCTGCTGCTGCTGCTGCTGCTCCTGCTGCTGCTGCTGCTGCTGCTGCTGCGGCGGCGGCGGCGGCCATACAATGTGCTGTCTTCGGAGACACTGTCTCCTCCTGTGTCTGTGCTGGTAGTCTCCAGCTCCTGCTGCTGCTGCTGCTGCTGCTGCAGCTGCTGCTGCAGCTTCTCCTGCTGCTGTAGCTGCTCCTGTTGCTGCTGCAGTTGCTCCTGCTGCTGTAGCTGCTCCTGCTGCTGCCTCAGCAACTGCTCCTGCTGCAGCTGCTCTTGCTGCTGCTGCTCCTGCTGCTGCTGCAGCAACTCTTCCCGCTGCTGCTGCAGCAACAGTTCCCGCTGCAGCTGCTCCTGTTGCTCCTGCTGCTGCTGCATCAACCATTCGTGCTGCAGCTGCTGCTGCTGCTGCAGTTGCTGCTGCTGCTGCTGCTGCTGCTGCTGCTGCAGCGGCACCGTGGCATCCGGAGGCAGCAAAGGATTGTAATCTGCTGCAGCAGCAACATCAGGCCCCAGAGTGTCTGTCTCCTGCTGCTGTATGGGTGCTGCTGCTGCTGCTGTTGCTGCTGCTGCTGCTGCTGCTGCATGCACACACAAACGCAGAGACAATCAGAGACAGCAATAAAGGAGACAGAAGAAAAGGAGAGATAGGAGGAGACAAAAGGAGATATAAAGAGACAGAAAGAGACAGAAAAAATATAAATAAAATAAAGAGACAGATAAAGCGACACAAGAAATATAAAAAATAAAATAAAGAGACAGACAAAGAGACAGAAGATATATAAAAATAAAATAAAGAGACAAAAAGGAAACAGAATAAATATAAATAAAAGAAAGAAACAGGAGAGAGAAAAAAATAAAACAAAGAGACAAATAGAGAAAAAAAAAAAGAAAAGAATAAAACAAAGAAAAAAAGAAACAACAGAAAGATAAAAATAAAACAAATAGACAAACTAAGAAACAAAAGAAATAAAAGAATAAAACAAAGAGAGAAAAAGAAACAAAAGAAAGAAAAAAACAAAACAAAGAAAAAAAAAAAAAAAGAAAACGAACCAGCAGCAAGGAGACAGCAGAGGCCCCAGGGGGCCCTGCAGCGGGGGGGGGGAGACATCTGTCTCCTTTTGTCTCCTTTATATATATATATTTTTTTGCTTTGTTTGTTTCTTTCTTTCTCTCCTTTATACTGTCTCTCTTGCCTCCTTTTGTCTCCTTTCTTTGTGCTGCTACGCTGCTGCTGCTGCTGCTGCTGCTGCTGCTG